TTTACTATTATAAGAATTCTTGTGATTTTATGAAATAATCCGTTCGACAGATCGATAGTTCGTAGGGAATCTATTAAAGGCCGCCGGTGGTTGTTGCCCATGCTCATGCACGGGCAATATAACTGTTGGATTTTCAGGGTACGTAAACTTTTCTTCATCCTTTAATGATGAGTTTAAAAACAAGTTCATTTATTCATGTTAATTTCATTTCCGTTATTTTAATTTGCTCTAGAATGCTTTTTTGATGGATTTTTTCTTATTATTCGTTTAGTTTGTTCATTTATTGTAGTTAGTTAGTGGCCTAATTTGCGTATTATTAACTTAAATAATAATTATGTTTTTACATAAGTATTTGCCTATATTTTTATTTTTCCGTTTTAATTAAATTAATAATTATTGTTATTATTATTATTTTTTAACTAATTGAATCTCATTATTGTCAGTAGTTTTCACATTAACTATATTCTGTTTAATAGTTAAATATTTGTAATTAATTATATATATAGCGTACGAGGGTAAGTCAGGGTGTGTTTGTTTGCGACAATCTATTTTAATTTTTTGCTTTAAAATTTTACATTACATTTTTTACCATTATTAATTTATCAGTATTCTTCTATTAGTTTATTATTATTATTACTATAAATTAATTAATTAGAGGATAATTCGATATTAACTTTAATTTATTTATAAATTTTCGTTCATAAATAACCAAATTGCTACATATATACATATAGGACTTTTGCGTAAGGGTGCCACATATGCGGCGGATTTTTTGTAGCTGTATCATGATGTTCGTTATATGTTCTTTCGGGGTTTCTATATCGAAGCCTAGTAAACGTTTCAATAGCGTTTTCACACCTTAGCCGTCAACCGCTTACCTGTAACTTTACAAAAAATTCATTTACATTTACAAAAAATGAGACTGTTGTGGCGACTTTTTGCTGCTGTGTATTTCCAACCGATGTGGATAGCCCATTTGCACTCTATGATGATTTAGACAAACTGGCGGTTCGACAAGAGGACCCCTAACGACATCCCTTACAGGGTTATGTACAGTTTCTAAAAAAAGGGCACAAGAAAATCGTTACTTAAATAAAAAAGGACCTCAGAATAGTCATTACTTAATTCGAAGCTTTGAAACAATGTCAATTTTGTATAGCACATTGCTTAAGGTAAATTAACTATTTTGTTAATGGCGGGAAGTTTGAAATTGTTGCTAAAACTTTGTTGTTGTCGTGTTGGCTTAAGATGTAAAATATTTTTACAAAAAAAATTCTTTAACAAAACTTTATCATGTTTAACATCATTGTCGTCGCCATCACTATTGCGCGCTGCTAACACTCATATTCTATGATAAATTTATCACGTGGTTCATTTTGATGATGAGAATGGTGATGATGCAGTTGATGATAATTCACCATTACGCTGGCTGTTGTATTAGGAGAAGAATTGTTTGTGGTTGTTGAATTGCGGAATAACTTGGTTAAATTCATTTGAGAATTTGTTGTTGCTCCCTTTAGCACTCCTGCGGCTGAAATATTTACTTGATTGTGCGCTGATGTTGCTGCTAACGTTGGTGCGCCTGACGGTAGTGCTATGGCATTGGGATTTGTAGTAAATAAAGCTGCTGCCGCCGCAACTGATGTGGCCGTTGTTGAGTTGCTAGTGGAAGTAATAGGGGAGTTGGAAAGTTTTGATGAATGATTTGAAGAGGATGACGAAGATTGCGCCTTATGTGATACACTGCAGATAGATGTATCGTGAGTAGCAGGCAATTGAGTTGTTACACAGCCATAATAATTCAAAGAGCTATACGATGGGCCAGAGCTAGGCGTATTCGGTGAGCGTTGCTGTGGCTGTTGTGAATAGTGCTGGTACATGGTACGTTTGCTAGGCATTTTTTGGGTATTCGAGCAGCCATCGTTTGACGATGTCCTTAAACTGATGAAATTATCAAAGTTATCCGATGAAGAAGTGTTCGAAGCGTTTGACGGTCGTCTTATGTCTTCTTGTTGTTGTTGTTGTTGAGCTAAAGAGCTTTTGCCAGACAGAGCCTTAAATTGGTTTAATTGGTTTCTATTTGTTATATTAACACCCCCTGCATATAATTGCTGGGGAGCCAATGATGATGTAGAAGAGGAGGAGTTCGACATCGATGTTTTATAGTTTTTAAAAGAGCTTTGTGTTAAAGCGACATTTCGATAATCCACCAGATTTAATGCTTTGTGCTGCATTAATTCATTTTCTGTTAAACCGTAATTTTTATTATTCATTAAAGATTTATTACGCAATCTATGGCGGCTCATGGAACTCGGTGATTTTTTACGCGTACTTTCTTCCCTCCTTCGGTCATTGTTGCTCGACGGCCCTAACGAACAGCTGTCCGTTTCATACGCTATTAAGTCCTTGTCATAATATAAAGAACTCTGATAGTCATCGGTCGTATAACTGCTGGTGGTTGTTGTGGTGGGCGGTGTTATCGATTTTTGATAATGCTCTAAATAGACTTCATAGGGAGATGGCACTAACTTTTGTTCAATTTCTTCTTCTTGCTGCAGGTGCTGATTCAAAGACTGATAGAAGTCTATTGCTGACATCGTGGAATCAGTTTCCAAGTGTTGTGCGTTATACCATCCTCTGTGCGTGCCACCATCAACTTCAAAATCGTCGGTGGCATTAATTAAAATCCTTATACTATTAGCAGCGGTATCGTCATTGTCATCGATTTCTTGCTCTAAGTTCAAATGATGATTTAGCAATTCTGGTCGATAGAAAAGGTCAAGTTTTAATCCTTCAGAATTACAAGGAGACCTCGAAAACTCTGCTCGTAGGTCTTTTTCAACCTCGGTTTCGACTCCTCTCTTACTATCTTTTAAAAATAAAGACATTTTCGGATGCTCGTATTTTAAAATACTTTTCTCCTTCTCAATGCCTTCATCGTCAGAAGTATCAGTCTTTTTTAAAATTAGTTCTTTGGCGCCAGCACTAAAGACAGAGGCATAATCGGAGCTGGTCAGAGAATCACTGTTTTGCATTGGTAAAGTGTTAAGATTTTCATAGTTGTGTTTTTGGGCCGTTGTCGAGGTCGTGATGGTTGAGAAGCTACGTTTGTGGTTATTCGTCAATGGGGGTCTCGATTTTTGGTTTGCACGGCTTACATATTGAGAGTTTGGATTTTCAAAATTCTCATTTAGATAGGCTTCGAGGTAGTTTATATTTTTCGACAAATCCAACTCTGACTTATAACTTTTATATAAAGTTATTGCCGGTTGGCTGTGTTGTTGATGTTGTAAGGCTTCCTGATAGGCCAAATTACATCGATTCTCGTAATGTTTAATATGAGCTTTATCGCTGATGAACCGAAAACTTTCGACCTTTGCCAAGGTCTGAAACGTTCCCGTGTGGGACGACCTATGCCCCAGATGAGAGGTTTCGTGCTTAATCAAGCGACATTTGTCTTTGAATTTTTGAAAGCCCTGTTTAGTTTTGGCGTGTAAGCGTGAGAAGTAATTATGTTTACTAGCAGCAGTCGGGGGAACCAAGGTATTAACGCGCGTTAAGCCGATTTGGGTAGACGAAGGGTAGTTTAGTTTAAGTTTTTTCAACTGAGGTCCATTAGCATTTGCAGTTAAATCCTGATGTTGCGGTATGCTGACGTGTGTTGATTTATTTAATTTTCTCAACGATAGCTGCTTGAAAACGTTACCCGTTGAACCGGACAATAATTTTGATTTTCTTCTCAATCTATCATGATGCAAAGGAAAATCTTGCCGCTCGTAATGTTTAATGGGTACGCCGTAAACGTGATGATAATTAGGCAGTTGGTGCTGACTCATAAAAGCTCTTTGTTGAGGCTTACGTATCACTCGACGGCTAGCATTCGAAGCACAACGTAAACGTGTATCTACGCGCAACGTCATTTGCGTTTCATCCTCGTGAAATATGGAAAAAGGATTTGTTATAACGGTACTGTTCATATGAAAATCGTTGGGTTTCGTTGTGACGCACATAGTAGCTGCCGCTACTGTCACCGCCGGTTCACCGATAATCTTTCCTCCCCCCTCTTCTTCCCCCCTTAACCATATATTCATTAAATTCTTATTTTGGGTTAATTTACTTTGTGCTAGAACTATAACATTGTTTTTATTGTTGCTTGTTAATTTAACATTTAAGTTAGTTTTAAGGAATTTTCTTAAATCCGAATCAGACTTAAATTTACGTAAATGTTTAACATAATTAAAGGATGTTTGCTGGTTGTGGTTTGTGGGGTTTTTATCTCTTAGTGACTGAGATTGTTTGTGAAAACGGTAGAATGGATTATTAATAGTAAGTTTTTGTATTAATAGCCAACTTTCTTCATCAACGTAATGTAACGATTGATGATTATTGTCTTGACTGAAAGAAATCACAGAGTTACCGGTAGTAGCAAGAGTAGCAGAAGTGGTAGCATTTTTAATTAAGTTATCAGTAGACTTAACAGTGCTTCCATTTGTTACCGACTCATCTCGGCCACTATCCAAGTCAACTAATACATTTTTCTCATGACGAAAGGAAGCTTCTAAAATCTTTTCTTTATTTAGATTTTTAACATTTCTGTTACTGTCACTGCTATCGTTACTCTCGATGCTGCTGTTTTTATTCATGTTAGTTATGTTTTGGCTGCTATCTTGTGTAGGATTTTGGGTTTGGTTATCGTTCACTGTATCTCTACTTTGGTCTATTCTTTTATTTGGTTCATTTGCTAAATCATTTTCAATATTATTACTACTATTATTACCACCTATAGTCTCGGTGTCTGTCGCACTAATATCTATAGTTTCAATTGTAGTTATTTTTGTAGTAGCTGTAATATTGTTAGTAACAATCAGATTTACTGTTGTTGTATCATCTGTTTTACTAATATCGTTATTATTGTTATTATTATTATTATTGTTACGGTTATTAGTTATTGCCTGCTAGACCCTAGTGGGTGGCTGTAAAATCATTGCAGCCATTCGTACCTTCATTGCTTCGGGCGATCCATGTTCATTATGAGTTAAAGCAGCAGCAGCTGCTGTAGTTGCCGCTTGTTGTTGATGATGCAATTGCTGGGATTGACTTTGGACTTGTTGCTGCTGCTGTTGCTGCTGATGATGAAAACCTGCCGGTGTGGTATATATCGAGTCACCCTGTGGCCCGCTAGTACTATCCGAACGTGATTTAAGATCAGCTTTCTCACTAAAGGGAAAAGAAAGGAAGATTTTTAAAATTTTAAAAAAAATACAAACCAAATTGTAATAATTTCATCTAATGGGTTGTTATACTTGCTACTGTTGCTACTTTAGCGTAAGGTCATGGAACTGTGTTTTCATATTAAAAATGCGTAGATTGCAATGGTCTAGATCTGTCGAGAAGCCTTTAATTAATAAAGCACTTTGCAATTTTTTGATATTGGCATAAAGTAACAGATCTTTCAGAGGTGTATTAAAAAATAACACATTTTTCTTCCTTTCATTCGTTTTTCCGCTCAACACAGAGAAAGTTAGGTGTAGTTAGTTTCCTTATTTGTTGGAACATTCAAAATTTTGTATTCTTGATCGTTATTTTCATGTATTGCCATTTTTAAATTAAACTACTCTCGTTCTTCCGAGATCTATCATAAGTGATATTTGTGTCAACTGCCTCACTTTCTACCTTGTTTATATAGGTAAGAATTGTTAAATGTTTACGTTGGGAAAACTTTTGTGCCAATTGTTATTTACTTCATGCATACCTTTCAGAAACGCTATTGCCTGTAACGAAAGTTCCTTGGGTCGGAATGTACATAAAAAATGGTCTAAAACGGCTGCAATATGATATGAAAAGAATTTGCTGCGCGTGTTGCTTTATAAAATATTTTTTCTAAAATAAAAATAATTGAAAACCTGTTAGTGAGTCCAGTTGTTATATTTTTGAATGTTTGTGAAGAACGTCATAGATAATGAGAAGATGGGAGTCTGAAATATAAAAAAGACTTTTAAGGCCGGAGCAGTCAAAAGGGAGTGGAGAACCTTTTCTAAAAGATAATGTTGCGGATAGAACAAAAGTCAGCATATAGATATTTAATGGACGAGAGTAATAAGAGAAATTTTCAAGCTCTCGGAAGAAGGGGGGAACATTATAGGAATAGGAGGAAACAATTAGAAATATTTTGCATATTTTCACTTTCTACCAAAAATCATCACATATATACGGTACGACTTTATATAAATAAGTTCCAAACAGAACCTGCTGTGCTTTAATTCCGCCCATTAATGTTTTGAAAGAATTTCATATTTATATGCTTACCTATCTTTATCGGAGGATTTATAACCGCTACTGCCTATGCATAAAATAAAAAGAGAAAAAAGAACATTTTAAACAAAAGGAAGAAAAAATTCTAAAAAGAGAAATACATTTTTCTAAATGTACGTAAATTAGTTTTTGCTCGCTTCGGTGTACACCCCTCTCCTGTAATAATTGATGAATGATTTCCGAGTCACTTTTGACTTTCCCTGTCTGTTGCGAAAGGAAATGAATGCATAGCAAAGTGTCATGTATTGACGTTTCACATAAATTATTAAACGGATAGTGAATTTTTATTTTGTTTTCTTATAACAAAAAAATAAGCAAAAGTTAATGTATTACAATTTATGTTCCCTTTACGATTATAAGGGAGCATTTGATGTTTGAAAATTATAAGGGAGCATTCGATTTCTGAAAAGTTTAGATTTCGCTATGTCATCTCCAGTATATTCACATTCTTTTAATACACGTTGATTTATCCGAAGTTTGAACTTAGGGTTCATTTCTTAATGTATACATGTAAAAGGAGACTTGCTAGCAAATCAACTTTTACTTAAATGCTTCTTGTTCTACCGTTGCCTAATTTGTGAAGGCATTTTCAATTTGGTGTTCGATTTTTTCCCGTTCGATGACTGCAACAACAACTGCGAGTTACTTGCACATTGATATATTGATTGACACTCGTGGTAGATGCTGGGTAGATGCTGCTGTTGCCCAAAGTAAACTGCCCTGTCTTCATCCCTAACCTGTTTGGTAGTCGTAGCGGTTGTTACCTTTGTCATTTAATCCCCACTCTGTCGTTTCATACTTAGTGTAGGTTCGACTTAGGTAAGTTTTATGTGCTTGCGTCACTTTGTGTATATTGTGAGTTTTTCTTTCTTTCCATTTGTTTTTGTTGTTTGCTATTTTTTCAAGTGAACAGCGGATGTTATTTGTAATACATGCATTTCCTGTTTCCGTGGTTGCACACGCACACTACGTTACTGTTATTCTACTTGGGTTCTGCTATACATGTTCTATGTTTTTTTTCACATAGTGTTGCGTATTTCGGTGCAATATCGAAGCAAACTTAAATAGGGATTTGTGTCAAAGTAATTTTCCTTGCAATATTATGAACGCTAGCAACAGCAATCATATTAGAAAATCTATTATTAAATATGTTCGCAAAGGGAAATTGCTGGTATTTCCATTTGAGTTTCTTGATTAAATTATAAATTCTTCCATATTTGCCCAAGTGTATTTTTAAATACTGGATGACGATATGGTTTATATTTATAATAGGCACGAAGGAAAAAAATTTGAAAAAGCTGAAACAACGGCGGAAACTTAATAGAAACATAACCAAGTTTTTAAGGATTTTTAACGAAGTATCGAATCGTGCCGGAAGACCGCAAATGTCAAAACTTCTTTCGTTTAATTCAAAAAATAGTGCTGCTGACTCGCGACGGGTGATGAGTACCTTGGGGTATCCAAAGCGTGATGCAAACTGGACCAATCATTAATGTGGACGACGAAAACACTCCATGCCAACGACACCTGCATTCAGGAAAGTCAACTTAGTTTTATTTATAAGTTACTTGTATGATTAATTAAATTTCCTTAGCTACGTTATCATCCTTTGTGTAGCGATTGTTCGCGATACACTAGGTTTGTAAGAACTGTTATGTAATAGAGAAGACATATTACTTGTTTACTGGCTCTAATTAAGAACATTTTACATTTTCTGAAAGGTGCATATTATCAACATAATCAATTAATCATTGGACAGGTAATTTTGACTAAATGTATGTATATATATCTTAGCAGCTCTGCAAAACATTACCACTAGACAACAATATGGCAAGCATTTAGCCACTTTCATAAGTATATACTTCCATTGCTGCACATATGTGATCACATTTTTTTTTACATTTTGTGGTATTATTGAGTACTAAGTTATATTATTAACTAACGTCGAACAATCTTTTCGGCTCATTGTTGTGTGTATATTTTTACCAATGGTTCTCTCTGTTTAATTTCGAATGTTACGTAGTCACGGCATTTGTTTTTCACCCATGCCTCTACGCTCTTCGTTACGGACTTCTACTATAAAGTGTAGTAGTTAATATTTTTCTCAGGGTTTAGTCTTCTTAGCAACTCAGCGTTGAATATACGGTCTGCCCAGGATATTTTACTGTAACACCATATCTCAAATCCGTCCAGTCTGTTCATTGTGTTGATTTTTAAAGCCAATGGTTCTGCATAATACAAAAGCAAAGACCATAAAAAGCATAAAATATTGTTGGGAATATTTTCAAAACGTGAGGCTTTATAGATATCATCCTACAATCTTGACATCTCCTGGCATTGTTTTTCTTTGGAATTGTCATGAGTGATAATTTTAACCAGGCATCAGAGTAAACGACTGTGTCGTAGAACTCTTTAAATAGTTTATGCAGGATATCTAAACTGTCATGTTTTATCAGCTTTATAACCTCGGTACCACGGTTACCCACGGCTTTTGTTGTTTTTGGCATTTTTTATAGTTTTTCTTATTTCATCTTCTGCAAACTGCTGATCATCATTTGGAAAGTCTAACCATCTAGTATGGTCTGAAAACAATTTAGGAATATAATCATCTCATTCTCCTCTTCTATCTCGGCGAATATTTTGTTGAGTGACTCATCACACCATACATACACCACAACTGGCGTTTTTCATTACGGGCCATAAGAGTCTTTTATGATGATTAAAGGCTTCCTACGCCTTTTATTGCCATTAATATCAAGCAATAGGACTATATCAGAGTAAGAAAGGAACTGTTCAAGGCATTTTGCGTGTTTCTTAGAATTAATAATACACGTTATCAAAATAGCGAAGGATATTAATGTTTAGGCGTTTCATTTCCTGGACTGCGTTGTGAAATTTTCCTGCTTTATGTAAGGTTCGAAAGTTCCACGCCGCGATATTTACGGCATGTTTGAATTCTTAGTGCCCTCATATAAACGGAGATCGAGAATAGTATATTCATTGTTCTTTGCATGTAATTTTCCTTGAGGTAGATACTCTAGTGGTCTGCCGTCACCTCCTGAAGGGTATAGGTTTTCCTTACGCTTACAACGTTGGCGCCGTTATATATATCGGCTCATCCTCTTCTAGGGAAAAAAAGTTAACCTAGTAAGACCGTGAACTTCATTGATCATTTCATTCTCCGTTGTGATCTAATTACCTGAGACCCATCGATATTTACATGCCATTTAGGTTACAAATCCCGATTGTTCTTAGCTTCAATGTTGACCTTCGAGCTTACTGTCATGTGTGGCCACACTAGTAGCTATGCTGCTTACTGAGCGTACCCATTGCGACAAGATGGCCACCCGCAGAGAATTTTCCGAGTCGATTAGAATTAATGTTTGATTCAGCTAGGTATTAGGTAAAAATGCCAATGGTTGAAAGTCTATTGGTTGCAACTGGACTGTTCATTTGAACTTTTTGGCTACGTGACATTATTTTTATTTATTACATACTGAAAGATATTTTTCCTCAGTATTAATTTGAAGTATTTATAAAGAAGATTAAACATTACTAAGTGCTACAAAAAAGTAATTCCAACAAATATTCTATGTTTTATGCCGCCTGTTCAGCTAGTTTCATTTGCACAACAGCACGTGTTAAGTGTAGATGAGTGAAAGAGCAGCAAACAGGGGAGTGCTGATAGCGAAGAGTAAAGCAAACAAAATGACGTTTCAGTGAAATAAAGAGAAGCAAGGCGCACTCTTTAAGTGCAAGATGGGTTCAAAAGTCGAAGAGTAGTTAAGTAGAAGTTGTCAAGTCACTTTGTAAAATCGTACTGACATTAAACCTTTCTACTTCTACTTATTAATTAATTAATTTCTACTTATTTAATTATTTATTTGTATTTAATTAATTTTGAAATTCAATTACTTTTTAATAAACTTTAACATAATATCTTCAATTCCTTTATAAAGATATTATTATTTTTATCTTTATTTATATACTATTATATATCACTAAATCGTTATAAATTGCAAATATATACAACAATATCTAAACTGCTATTGAGCTAAGTTATTTGCCGCCTCTTGCAGCCTAGTCGTTATAACACCCGGAAGAACTTAAGGTATACCCATCCTTCATCACACTAATCGATTTAGTATCATTTTTTGAATCGATCCAAGATTGACTGTCACAGGCGCATGTACACTTGTTGTCAAGCTATAGGTGGGAATTTTTGTGCACTCACCTGTTTTTGTCCAAGAAAGAACCATATTGAAAATGTATTGAATTGAAGAGTTATGACCAACGCATTATTTTGGGAAAATCGTTACACGAAAAAATTACAATTTTCAAAATTTCACGTCCAAGACCACTGCGTATTTGAGTATAATGAACTGATGTGAAAAATTTGTTCCGAATGGGTGAAAAGTAAATTTTAGTATGGCGTAGAGCTTTAATATTTGCCTTTTAGAATAAAAACTAGCTCATGATATTAATTTCACATAAAAATTAATTGTACAAAATTTGGGCTATGTACGTGTATTTTTTGTACCCATAAAACGGAAGAAATATGTGTCTTCAGTAAACAATGTATACTTTTCGGAAAGCGAGCATAAGTTTTTGGTATTTTATCTTAAAAAGAAGTACAAAAAAATCACAGTGAGCCACCGGCCGCCATGGCTTCGTTTAACACAATTATTCATACAAAAATTTCCACAATAACAGGTTATATGAGTAGCAGTTGCATAAGTAGTCTTATCCAATTAATTTGCAAAAGACTTCGTCCTATCTCCAAATGCGTAGGAAATTTATCTCAAACCCAAAGGTGAATACATTATATAGACAGACGGCTAGACAAGCTTAACTCGAGTCGGAACCTCAATTCTACATTGATGGGTATAATTGAAAACTAGGCCCTTATACGTATTGTATTCGCACAACCTTAATATTATCGAGCACAACACGTAGGCTAGTGTAAAAAGATGTAATAAAGTCATATGCACTTTGAAGCGAAACCTTCATATGCATTAACTCAAACAA